AGGATCCCAGCTTTAATATTAGGGGGATTCCCTTTCTCAGCAACGATGCGACAATCAACGGACATTGATTAACAGCTGTATGTACATATACACACAGCAAGGCAGTCGCGATTAGATACCGGCCAGCACCGAGCAGCGTAGACACCCAGTACCCTGCCACCCTCCGAGAGAAACAGAGAGCGATGAAGGGGGATCTGTGTGTGCGTATCCAATGAATTAATATTTCATTCTAGAACGCAGATGTCTGCGTTAGTTGGGCACACACACACATAGTACATATATGCTGGCAGCGTTCCCATTCAATCTACTCGACGGCTGATGCACGCCTGAAGCCCCCGCTGGAAACTTCCGCAGATTCTGGAACGCAGAGGATGCGGGCTATCGGCGACAGGGGAAACTACTATACAGAAAGAGAAGGCGAATTCATATTATTGCCAATTTAATGCAAGAAAAATAAAGAGAGTGGAGTGGGCGATGCCAAAGGCAGAAGAAAGAAAGGCCGTAAACCAAAAGAAGAAGGCACGCAAGAAAGAGAAACCAGAACAGGTTTAACTGTTCTTGGAGTGCTCGCTTAACAACGCTAATTGACACGCACACAGGCACACACGCCACACACACACAACCAGAAGGGCCATAAACACACTCAAAAGCCAAGTGGAACTTTTGTAAACCCCATAAATGGCGAATAGTGTGTCACATTTCAAGAGCTTCCTTTATTTGTTTAACCAAAAGGCATTAAAATTAACTAATTTTAGTGAAAACTTACTTTTCTTCTGAACCGAAATTGAGTGGCCTGGGGCCTATCAAATCAACTGCAGCAAGGAATGCACTCAATTTACACTCAATTAGTTTACACGTTTTGCTTTCGTAGTTTCCAGCGCCCTGCCCTGGCTGATTTATTTCGGATGGCACTGACACCTTTCATTCGCCATATACGTATATATTCATATATTTTTAAATGCTTACAACATCTCGTCAGTCTGTGCGAATTGTTTTCTTTTCTCCACTAACACAGATTTGCACTCAAACAAAAACTCGTTTTTGATCATTTATTTTGGCACAAAACTTTCTGCTACACCAAAATTGCTGAATGCTGCAACAATGTTTTATGTACTATTCATTTATGTGATTGCCACCCGAGTACCCACCACGAGTTTGTTTAAAAATAAGTATTTCTACTTATAAACCCAACCCAAAGAATAACAACAACACGCACAAAACGACGCAGTTCTTGAACCGTGTCTCGGAACGAACCCGAAATGCACTTCAATTTGGTCGCTTAATTCAAGCTTGTTCACAGCCCAGCGATTCGCAAATGCGGCAAATTCTATTTATTTTTTTTAATGTACGCATACAAGTGTACATCAGCAAAGCGATTTGCTCAATTTAATAAAAATTAACGCGACGCAAAGCGTACGGCGATCCGCTCATTTAAAAAATTTGGAAGCAGTGTGACGGATTTATTGCTAAAATATACCATCCGACCATTAGAAATATACCGACTCATTTAAAAAATATACCGTACATATACTGACGAGTTCAATTTCTTTTGTACATATTCCTCATTAATGATATTCCGTCGAATATTACTAGCTAGAAAGACCCGTCAGCTTTCAACTCATAATTTTATCCGATTATTTAATCGGTTTCCTACAAGGCTGGTTAAATTTAAGTTTTCATCTTTATTGTATTGCTTATAAAATAGGGTTAAAGAAAAACCGGTCAACAACAATTTCCACTAAATTAATTTCCTTACTGGTAACTACACGCTAAATACACATTTGCTACATATTAACTACATTTTAATGTCATTACAAAAGGCGACACCTGTAGGAAAAAAGTTCGTCGGTATATTTACGGTATTTTCTGAGAGTGTGACCGTATATCGTATATCCACAGTCACACTGATTTTAGACACCTTGTCCAAGTCACACACCTTGCAAGTTGTATACTTTTTCTAGTATTTTCCAGTATATTTTAAGACGCGTTATGTCCAATCACTAACCATACAGTATACTGTATTTAGTGGTTAGTGGTCCAATGCACCATTGTAGAAATGTACCTGGCCACATCGAATTATTATTCGTATTCGTGATCAGCGTCGAAATCCTGGTCGTGTGCCTTCGAGATCTCAATTTATTCAAAAATATCGTGAAAAAAGCATGTCAAAAACAGGATAGTGGAGGTTCTTCACACTAACGGTTCCAATAGAAAAGGGCCAACAATATCCGAAAGTTACACATTTACCCTTCAGGTGTCGCTTTTGAGAACTACATAAAAATGTAGTTAATATGTAGCAATTATGTAGTTATCGTGCAGTTACCATGAAACAAAATTAGTGTAGTGGACACTTTTGTTGACATTTTTTATTTAAACCTTATATTATAAACAATCCAATAAGGATGAGTACTTAGAATTAGCAAATCTTGCACAAAATTGATTAGATTATCGGGTAAAATTTTGTGTAGGAGGGTTAATTTTTATTAAATTGAGCAAATCGTTTTGCTGATGTACACTTGTATGCGTACATTAAAAAAAATAAATAGAATTTGCCGCATTTGCGAATCGCTGGGCTGTGAACAAGCTTGAATTAAGCGACCAAATTGAAGTGCATTTCGGGTTCGTTCCGAGACACGGTTCAAGAACTGCGTCGTTTTGTGCGTGTTGTTGTTATTCTTTGGGTTGGGTTTATAAGTAGAAATACTTATTTTTAAACAAACTCGTGGTGGGTACTCGGGTGGCGATCACATAAATGAATAGTACATAAAACATTGTTGCAGCATTCAGCAATTTTGGTGTAGCAGAAAGTTTTGTGCCAAAATAAATGATCAAAAACGAGTTTTTGTTTGAGTGCAAATCTGTGTTAGTGGAGAAAAGAAAACAATTCGCACAGACTGACGAGATGTTGTAAGCATTTAAAAATATATGAATATATACGTATATGGCGAATGAAAGGTGTCAGTGCCATCCGAAATAAATCAGCCAGGGCAGGGCGCTGGAAACTACGAAAGCAAAACGTGTAAACTAATTGAGTGTAAATTGAGTGCATTCCTTGCTGCAGTTGATTTGATAGGCCCCAGGCCACTCAATTTCGGTTCAGAAGAAAAGTAAGTTTTCACTAAAATTAGTTAATTTTAATGCCTTTTGGTTAAACAAATAAAGGAAGCTCTTGAAATGTGACACACTATTCGCCATTTATGGGGTTTACAAAAGTTCCACTTGGCTTTTGAGTGTGTTTATGGCCCTTCTGGTTGTGTGTGTGTGGCGTGTGTGCCTGTGTGCGTGTCAATTAGCGTTGTTAAGCGAGCACTCCAAGAACAGTTAAACCTGTTCTGGTTTCTCTTTCTTGCGTGCCTTCTTCTTTTGGTTTACGGCCTTTCTTTCTTCTGCCTTTGGCATCGCCCACTCCACTCTCTTTATTTTTCTTGCATTAAATTGGCAATAATATGAATTCGCCTTCTCTTTCTGTATAGTAGTTTCCCCTGTCGCCGATAGCCCGCATCCTCTGCGTTCCAGAATCTGCGGAAGTTTCCAGCGGGGGCTTCAGGCGTGCATCAGCCGTCGAGTAGATTGAATGGGAACGCTGCCAGCATATATGTACTATGTGTGTGTGTGCCCAACTAACGCAGACATCTGCGTTCTAGAATGAAATATTAATTCATTGGATACGCACACACAGATCCCCCTTCATCGCTCTCTGTTTCTCTCGGAGGGTGGCAGGGTACTGGGTGTCTACGCTGCTCGGTGCTGGCCGGTATCTAATCGCGACTGCCTTGCTGTGTGTATATGTACATACAGCTGTTAATCAATGTCCGTTGATTGTCGCATCGTTGCTGAGAAAGGGAATCCCCCTAATATTAAAGCTGGGATCCTATGCCAGAGCAGAACGCAATACTTTTCATATCCCACCTTGGGTTTCCTTAACCAATCCCATAACTTTCGACATTGACAATGAGGCTTCATCAGCATTCGTTCGCTCACAGTCATTATCATAATGATGATGATAATGATAATAATGTGCATGTGTGTGGTGTGTGACTCTCGTTTAGGACCTGAGCTCAAAAGTGCAATGCACGGCAGAAAAATCAACACGAGTATAAAGTATATATGTATATTCTTGATCAGCCTCAATAGCCGAGTCGATTGAGCCCTGTCTGTCTGACCGTCTGTCCGTGTGGCAAGGGATTGAAATCGGAGGCGTACCCCAACCAGCGCCCAAGAGAGCCCTGAAAATGGATGCTTCTACGGATTCTGGATCAGGGATCATGGGTCGTGGATCGTGGAAGATGACGCTTTTGTTGTGTTGTTTTGATCACTGATCACTGAATCAACACGAGTACAGTGAATATTTAATGATTCATTTGCTGCCGCTTCTGGTGGATTCCGTGCCTCCGAAGTGCGTATGCGGGGGCCTGCAATTGGGGGCAACAAAAGCCCCACGGCTGCCACAATCGCTGCTGCAGCGGAAATGTTTTGCTGCTGCTGCATGCTCTCCTCCTCCGTTTATCATTGAATAAACTGCAGAACAAATATGCAGCGAAATAAAAATAATAATAATAAATGCAATCACGGGGATGAGGGATGAGCAAGTGGCCTCCCGTCCAAACGCAACGGATAAACATAAACAATATATCTGATCGACTGGAAACTCTTGAGTTTGTCGTCTCGTGCTCCATTTCCCCTCTCTCTCTCTCTCTCTCTCTCTCTCTCTCTCATCCTCTTTCTGTCTCCCTCTCCTTCTCTGTCTCGCTCTATCTCGTGGGAATTGACTTTGAATTTCGAATATTTCGGCATCTACATATGTATTTTGATTGCGGCCAAAAACGGAGAGACGATTCCGTGCATTGCGATTCTGGCATCAACGAAAATAGATGCCCAAATGGAAGTGCAAACATCTCTGAGGGGAGGGGTGGAGTGTCGGGCGGGTGGCCGTGTGTCTTCTGTCAGTGTGTGATTGGATAATGCTTGCTGCTTGCTGCTTTCTGCTCGATGGCTGCCCCCTAGAGCACGAGGTGCAGGCGTATCTGGAACACCAGCTCCTCGACGGTCTCCTTCAGGAGCGCCGCCAGGGACAGGATGAATCCCAGGAGGCTGAGGGAGAACAGCCAGGGCGTGGTCGTGGTCATGAGCACGGCAAAGAAGACGAGCGTCTCGTCGCCCCGGGCATTGGCCATGCGCCACAGCAACTGGCGCTGGATGGTGCGCAGCTTGAACTTGCTGTTCCACAATCGGAGGCGCCCACGGTCTTCTCGACCAGCCAGAACACCGCGCAGCACAGCATCTTCAGCACCAGCAGCACGACCTTGACCACAGCGGTCTCCAAGACGAGGTGGTACAAGGCCACCATGCGCTGACGGTGCTCCGGCTGCATTGTGGAGAGCACGACTGCGCCGAGGGACTCCAGCGGGGAGACCCTGAGGGAAGGGCCGTCGGAGAGCTCCTCCCACTCCGAGTCCGACTCGGTGCGCTCTATCGAGCTGAACTCGCTCTGGCTCTGACAGGAGCACGACTCCTCCTCTTGGTCCTCCTAGGTGGGCATCGAGTAGTCGCCCTCGATTCCTGTGAGGAAATATACATACGTTCATGGGCTTTGTTTTGTAGTTGTATTTGTATTTACTTTATGTTCCCCGTGCTTTCGATATTTGCTGCCGTTCTCTGTGTTGTGCCGCTTTCTCCAGATATTCGTACTGAATGATTTCCTGAGCCAGTTCTGGATTCTCCCTTCTTTTCAGGTCTCCCCCACCCCACCCCACAACGCCATGTTGCGCATAATCCTATTTGGGTGGCTGTTGGCCGGCCCGGCACTCCTGGTCCACTCGGAGCTCACAGAACTAGATGGCCCCAACATATGCAAGAGGCGGGAGAGGTAAGTACTCGTCGGAGAGACTAATCACAGGCACTCATCCATCTCCATCCATCTATCCCATCCACCCATGGCTACCCCGTTGAAGTTGTCTACACTGAGCTGCAGTCGTACCAGGAGCGTGGCTCCAACTGGTGCCTCACCATCCCGCCACGCTGCTCCACGTACCGCATCAAGAATCGGGTGGTAAACAAGACCAAGACAATCATGAAGAACCGCATTGTGCGCGACTGTTGCGGTGAGTCTCTCGGGAGTTTCGAGTCCCTACGTGCCCCGAGCCTGTATTTTCACGATCTACGATCTACATTCCAGATGGCTATGTGTCCAGCGGCGGGGAGTGCGTGCCCCATTGTACGGACCACTGCGAGCACGGCAGATGCATTGCCCCGGAGAAGTGCAAGTGCGACCATGGCTATGGCGGCCCTGCCTGTGATATAAGTTCGTTTAACCTTTGCTTCCCTTCCCTTCCTTTCCCTTCTCTTCCCCGATTAACCCTTTCGTATTTGTGTACAATGAAACGCCTTGGGGGTGGGGTGCATGTGGGGCCACCTCTGGGTCCCATTGCTTAGTCCTTTAAAGCCCTTGCAGAGTGCTCTGACAGAATCGGGGCTAGCCATGAGATATACATACGATATATTCCGAACACAAATGCCACAACAGGGGGACAAAACGTAGGACAATTTGGGAGTACATAATACAGAATACGAAGAAGGGCCAGGACACACAACATGGACATTGAGGAGGATCTGGACGGCATGCCACCCATCAGCATCGGCACCTTCGGGATACCCAATGACCCGGAACTGCTGGACGAGTACGCGCTGTACCGTCCCTCGATAGGCTCAAGTACGTGGAGATAGTCGAGGCCTGTCCGGCGGCCTTCTGGCCGGAGAGCGAGATGGCCGAGCTGGCGGCACTCATGCGGGAACATGTGCGCACCATGGACATCCGCCATCTGCAGTCCCTCTCGGAGGAGAGCTTCCAGCGCCACAAAGGGAGCAGCGACTCGGAGCCGGACGTCACGTCGGAGGAGTCTGAGGCCCTGTTTGTTTCTAGCGATGAGCGCAACACCTCCTCCGAGTGGACAGACGAGCAAGAGGGAGAGTGCTCCGAAGAGCAGTCCACAGAGCAGCCCGACCCGAAGAATCAGGCTAAGATCAACTTTAATAGAGTGGAAACGGAGGAGGAGCAGCCGGCAGGGGCAGGGGCAGTGACAGGAGCAGCGGCAGTCTGAGGAGTCATGTACCTTCTGGATGACATCCAGGAGGCCAAACGCGTGGCGCGTGGTTCCCGCAACGCCGTGCGACAGCAGCTGCGGCGCTTGCAGGCCGCCAGGAAGGAGGCGCACGAGCAGCGGGTGCACCGTCGCACCGTTATGCGGCAGAGGCCCGCCGAGCAGCCTGAGAAGAAGCGCCGCAAGAGCAGGAAGACAGTGATGGGCGTCTTCAGTATGAAGGTGGAGCCCGAGCCGGAAGACGACGAAGATAAGATCGTGGACAGCCGAAACAAGGAGAAGGTGCTGGAGCGCCTCCGTCGCTACGACTTCCCCTCGGAGCACTGCCATCACATCGACCTGAGCTTTGTGCGCTTCTTCGATAACCTCGTCTCGTTCACCCTCGAGTTCCTGGGGCCACACATGGGGCGCGACTTCCACAAGCGGCACCTGCGGTTCTCCACCGAGGACGTGGTGCGGCTGGCCAGGGGCCTCCAGGAGCTCGACAAGCTGCAGATCTTCCGCCTGCGCAACAGCCGCATGGACCATCTCAAGCTGCACGTCCTCTGCCGTGTCCTCAAGAACCTGAAGGCCTTGGAAGTGATTGATTCGCCCGTCCAGCCCGGATTACAGATGCAGGCCCCGTTCTCGGGCTCGCACTTGCCACCGTTCTCACAGCGGCACTCCTCCAAGCAGCTGGCGCCAAAGCGCCCCTCCGGACAGACATCGGCGAACCTGGCGCCCGTATAGCCCTTGGCGCACTCGCACTCCCCGCTGAAGGGCTCGCAGAGGGCGTTGTTCAGGCAGTCGCACTGCATCGAGCAGTTCCTTCCGTACCAGCCAGGTGGGCAATCTGGCGTGCAAAAAGTTATATAAGTAATCTAAATCTCTCTCTCTCTCTCTCTGTCTTTCTTAGAACAGGACTAGACGTTATACAGGATGTTGCGACAGTTAGAGAACAGCCAGGGCGTGGTCATGAGCACGGCAAAGAAGACGAGCGTCTCGTCGCCCCGGGCATTGGCCATGCGCCACAGCAACTGGCGCTGGATGGTGCGCAGCTTGAACTTGCTGTTCCACAATCGGAGGCGCCCACGGTCTTCTCGACCAGCCAGAACACCGCGCAGCACAGCATCTTCAGCACCAGCAGCACGACCTTGACCACAGCGGTCTCCAAGACGAGGTGGTACAAGGCCACCATGCGCTGACGGTGCTCCGGCTGCATTGTGGAGAGCACGACTGCGCCGAGGGACTCCAGCGGGGAGACCCTGAGGGAAGGGCCGTCGGAGAGCTCCTCCCACTCCGAGTCCGACTCGGTGCGCTCTATCGAGCTGAACTCGCTCTGGCTCTGACAGGAGCACGACTCCTCCTCTTGGTCCTCCTAGGTGGGCATCGAGTAGTCGCCCTCGATTCCTGTGAGGAAATATACATACGTTCATGGGCTTTGTTTTGTAGTTGTATTTGTATTTACTTTATGTTCCCCGTGCTTTCGATATTTGCTGCCGTTCTCTGTGTTGTGCCGCTTTCTCCAGATATTCGTACTGAATGATTTCCTGAGCCAGTTCTGGATTCTCCCTTCTTTTCAGGTCTCCCCCACCCCACCCCACCCCACCCCACAACGCCATGTTGCGCATAATCCTATTTGGGTGGCTGTTGGCCGGCCCGGCACTCCTGGTCCACTCGGAGCTCACAGAACTAGATGGCCCCAACATATGCAAGAGGCGGGAGAGGTAAGTACTCGTCGGAGAGACTAATCACAGGCACTCATCCATCTCCATCCATCTATCCCATCCACCCATAGCTACCCCGTTGAAGTTGTCTACACTGAGCTGCAGTCGTACCAGGAGCGTGGCTCCAACTGGTGCCTCACCATCCCGCCACGCTGCTCCACGTACCGCATCAAGAATCGGGTGGTAAACAAGACCAAGACAATCATGAAGAACCGCATTGTGCGCGACTGTTGCGGTGAATCTCTCGGGAGTTTCGAGTCCCTACGTGCCCCGAGCCTGTATTTTCACGATCTACGATCTACATTCCAGATGGTTATGTGTCCAGCGGCGGGGAGTGCGTGCCCCATTGTACGGACCACTGCGAGCACGGCAGATGCATTGCCCCGGAGAAGTGCAAGTGCGACCATGGCTATGGCGGCCCTGCCTGTGATATAAGTTCGTTTAACCTTTGCTTCCCTTCCCTTCCTTTCCCTTCTCTTCCCCGATTAACCCTTTCGTATTTGTGTACAATGAAACGCCTTGGGGGTGGGGTGCATGTGGGGCCACCTCTGGGTCCCATTGCTTAGTCCTTTAAAGCCCTTGCAGAGTGCTCTGACAGAATCGGGGCTAGCCATGAGATATACATACGATATATTCCGAACACAAATGCCACAACAGGGGGACAAAACGTAGGACAATTTGGGAGTACATAATACAGAATACGAAGAAGGGCCAGGACACACAACATGGACATTGAGGAGGATCTGGACGGCATGCCACCCATCAGCATCGGCACCTTCGGGATACCCAATGACCCGGAACTGCTGGACGAGTACGCGCTGTACCGTCCCTCGATAGGCTCAAGTACGTGGAGATAGTCGAGGCCTGTCCGGCGGCCTTCTGGCCGGAGAGCGAGATGGCCGAGCTGGCGGCACTCGTGCGGGAACATGTGCGCACCATGGACATCCGCCATCTGCAGTCCCTCTCGGAGGAGAGCTTCCAGCGCCACAAAGGGAGCAGCGACTCGGAGCCGGACGTCACGTCGGAGGAGTCTGAGGCCCTGTTTGTTTCTAGCGATGAGCGCAACACCTCCTCCGAGTGGACAGACGAGCAAGAGGGAGAGTGCTCCGAAGAGCAGTCCACAGAGCAGCCCGACCCGAAGAATCAGGCTAAGATCAACTTTAATAGAGTGGAAACGGAGGAGGAGCAGCCGGCAGGGGCAGGGGCAGTGACAGGAGCAGCGGCAGTCTGAGGAGTCATGTACCTTCTGGATGACATCCAGGAGGCCAAACGCGTGGCGCGTGGTTCCCGCAACGCCGTGCGACAGCAGCTGCGGCGCTTGCAGGCCGCCAGGAAGGAGGCGCACGAGCAGCGGGTGCACCGTCGCACCGTTATGCGGCAGAGGCCCGCCGAGCAGCCTGAGAAGAAGCGCCGCAAGAGCAGGAAGACAGTGATGGGCGTCTTCAGTATGAAGGTGGAGCCCGAGCCGGAAGACGACGAAGATAAGATCGTGGACAGGCGAAACAAGGAGAAGGTGCTGGAGCGCCTCCGTCGCTACGACTTCCCCTCGGAGCACTGCCATCACATCGACCTGAGCTTTGTGCGCTTCTTCGATAACCTCGTCTCGTTCACCCTCGAGTTCCTGGGGCCACACATGGGGCGCGACTTCCACAAGCGGCACCTGCGGTTCTCCACCGAGGACGTGGTGCGGCTGGCCAGGGGCCTCCAGGAGCTCGACAAGCTGCAGATCTTCCGCCTGCGCAACAGCCGCATGGACCATCTCAAGCTGCACGTCCTCTGCCGTGTCCTCAAGAACCTGAAGGCCTTGGAAGTGATTGATTCGCCCGTCCAGCCCGGATTACAGATGCAGGCCCCGTTCTCGGGCTCGCACTTGCCACCGTTCTCACAGCGGCACTCCTCCAAGCAGCTGGCGCCAAAGCGCCCCTCCGGACAGACATCGGCGAACCTGGCGCCCGTATAGCCCTTGGCGCACTCGCACTCCCCGCTGAAGGGCTCGCAGAGGGCGTTGTTCAGGCAGTCGCACTGCATCGAGCAGTTCCTTCCGTACCAGCCAGGTGGGCAATCTGGCGTGCAAAAAGTTATATAAGTAATCTAAATCTCTCTCTCTCTCTCTCTCTGTCTTTCTTAGAACAGGACTAGACGTTATACAGGATGTTGCGACAGTTAGAGAACAGCCAGGGCGTGGTCATGAGCACGGCAAAGAAGACGAGCGTCTCGTCGCCCCGGGCATTGGCCATGCGCCACAGCAACTGGCGCTGGATGGTGCGCAGCTTGAACTTGCTGTTCCACAATCGGAGGCGCCCACGGTCTTCTCGACCAGCCAGAACACCGCGCAGCACAGCATCTTCAGCACCAGCAGCACGACCTTGACCACAGCGGTCTCCAAGACGAGGTGGTACAAGGCCACCATGCGCTGACGGTGCTCCGGCTGCATTGTGGAGAGCACGACTGCGCCGAGGGACTCCAGCGGGGAGACCCTGAGGGAAGGGCCGTCGGAGAGCTCCTCCCACTCCGAGTCCGACTCGGTGCGCTCTATCGAGCTGAACTCGCTCTGGCTCTGACAGGAGCACGACTCCTCCTCTTGGTCCTCCTAGGTGGGCATCGAGTAGTCGCCCTCGTAGTCGCCCTCGTAGCGGCCGTCGGAGTACTCTTCGTGCGGGCCGTCGAAGTAGTCTCCGCGGCTGCCCGGAGAAGCGCCGCCTGCTGCTGCCGCTCACCCATCTGAATCCCCCATCGGAGGGAAGGTGGGGGGGTGTGCGCGACCTATTGGACCCATTGGGCGGGACAGCAGAGGACTGGTGTGGATTTGGCCTAGGAAGGGCATCGCATTGAGTCTATTCTTGCTGCTGCTGCTGCTGCTGGTCGGTAAAGTCGAAGGATCCCATGGATCCGAAAATACCCCGCGAACGGGTGAACGGGGAACGTGGATTGGTAATAGTTGGATTCATCTTATTCCAGCACCTGTGAGGAAATATACATACGTTCATGGGCTTTGTTTTGTAGTTGTATTTGTATTTACTTTATGTTCCCCGTGCTTTCGATATTTGCTGCCGTTCTCTGTGTTGTGCCGCTTTCTCCAGATATTCGTACTGAATGATTTCCTGAGCCAGTTCTGGATTCTCCCTTCTTTTCAGGTCTCCCCCACCCCACCCCACCCCACAACGCCATGTTGCGCATAATCCTATTTGGGTGGCTGTTGGCCGGCCCGGCACTCCTGGTCCACTCGGAGCTCACAGAACTAGATGGCCCCAACATATGCAAGAGGCGGGAGAGGTAAGTACTCGTCGGAGAGACTAATCACAGGCACTCATCCATCTCCATCCATCTATCCCATCCACCCATAGCTACCCCGTTGAAGTTGTCTACACTGAGCTGCAGTCGTACCAGGAGCGTGGCTCCAACTGGTGCCTCACCATCCCGCCACGCTGCTCCACGTACCGCATCAAGAATCGGGTGGTAAACAAGACCAAGACAATCATGAAGAACCGCATTGTGCGCGACTGTTGCGGTGAGTCTCTCGGGAGTTTCGAGTCCCTACGTGCCCCGAGCCTGTATTTTCACGATCTACGATCTACATTCCAGATGGCTATGTGTCCAGCGGCGGGGAGTGCGTGCCCCATTGTACGGACCACTGCGAGCACGGCAGATGCATTGCCCCGGAGAAGTGCAAGTGCGACCATGGCTATGGCGGCCCTGCCTGTGATATAAGTTCGTTTAACCTTTGCTTCCCTTCCCTTCCTTTCCCTTCTCTTCCCCGATTAACCCTTTCGTATTTGTGTACAATGAAACGCCTTGGGGGTGGGGTGCATGTGGGGCCACCTCTGGGTCCCATTGCTTAGTCCTTTAAAGCCCTTGCAGAGTGCTCTGACAGAATCGGGGCTAGCCATGAGATATACATACGATATATTCCGAACACAAATGCCACAACAGGGGGACAAAACGTAGGACAATTTGGGAGTACATAATACAGAATACGAAGAAGGGACAGGACACACAACATGGACATTGAGGAGGATCTGGACGGCATGCCACCCATCAGCATCGGCACCTTCGGGATACCCAATGACCCGGAACTGCTGGACGAGTACGCGCTGTACCGTCCCTCGATAGGCTCAAGTACGTGGAGATAGTCGAGGCCTGTCCGGCGGCCTTCTGGCCGGAGAGCGAGATGGCCGAGCTGGCGGCACTCGTGCGGGAACATGTGCGCACCATGGACATCCGCCATCTGCAGTCCCTCTCGGAGGAGAGCTTCCAGCGCCACAAAGGGAGCAGCGACTCGGAGCCGGACGTCACGTCGGAGGAGTCTGAGGCCCTGTTTGTTTCTAGCGATGAGCGCAACACCTCCTCCGAGTGGACAGACGAGCAAGAGGGAGAGTGCTCCGAAGAGCAGTCCACAGAGCAGCCCGACCCGAAGAATCAGGCTAAGATCAACTTTAATAGAGTGGAAACGGAGGAGGAGCAGCCGGCAGGGGCAGGGGCAGGGGCAGTGGCAGGAGCAGCGGCAGTAGAAGCGGCAGTCGAAGGAGTCATGTACCTTCTGGATGACATCCAGGAGGCCAAACGCGTGGCGCGTGGTTCCCGCAACGCCGTGCGACAGCAGCTGCGGCGCTTGCAGGCCGCCAGGAAGGAGGCGCACGAGCAGCGGGTGCACCGTCGCACCGTTATGCGGCAGAGGCCCGCCGAGCAGCCTGAGAAGAAGCGCCGCAAGAGCAGGAAGACAGTGATGGGCGTCTTCAGTATGAAGGTGGAGCCCGAGCCGGAAGACGACGAAGATAAGATCGTGGACAGGCGAAACAAGGAGAAGGTGCTGGAGCGCCTCCGTCGCTACGACTTCCCCTCGGAGCACTGCCATCACATCGACCTGAGCTTTGTGCGCTTCTTCGATAACCTCGTCTCGTTCACCCTCGAGTTCCTGGGGCCACACATGGGGCGCGACTTCCACAAGCGGCACCTGCGGTTCTCCACCGAGGACGTGGTGCGGCTGGCCAGGGGCCTCCAGGAGCTCGACAAGCTGCAGATCTTCCGCCTGCGCAACAGCCGCATGGACCATCTCAAGCTGCACGTCCTCTGCCGTGTCCTCAAGAACCTGAAGGCCTTGGAAGTGATTGATTCGCCCGTCCAGCCCGGATTACAGATGCAGGCCCCGTTCTCGGGCTCGCACTTGCCACCGTTCTCACAGCGGCACTCCTCCAAGCAGCTGGCGCCAAAGCGCCCCTCCGGACAGACATCGGCGAACCTGGCGCCCGTATAGCCCTTGGCGCACTCGCACTCCCCGCTGAAGGGCTCGCAGAGGGCGTTGTTCAGGCAGTCGCACTGCATCGAGCAGTTCCTTCCGTACCAGCCAGGTGGGCAATCTGGCGTGCAAAAAGTTATATAAGTAATCTAAATCTCTCTCTCTCTCTCTCTCTGTCTTTCTTAGAACAGGACTAGACGTTATACAGGATGTTGCGACAGTTAGAGAACAGCCAGGGCGTGGTCATGAGCACGGCAAAGAAGACGAGCGTCTCGTCGCCCCGGGCATTGGCCATGCGCCACAGCAACTGGCGCTGGATGGTGCGCAGCTTGAACTTGCTGTTCCACAATCGGAGGCGCCCACGGTCTTCTCGACCAGCCAGAACACCGCGCAGCACAGCATCTTCAGCACCAGCAGCACGACCTTGACCACAGCGGTCTCCAAGACGAGGTGGTACAAGGCCACCATGCGCTGACGGTGCTCCGGCTGCATTGTGGAGAGCACGACTGCGCCGAGGGACTCCAGCGGGGAGACCCTGAGGGAAGGGCCGTCGGAGAGCTCCTCCCACTCCGAGTCCGACTCGGTGCGCTCTATCGAGCTGAACTCGCTCTGGCTCTGACAGGAGCACGACTCCTCCTCTTGGTCCTCCTAGGTGGGCATCGAGTAGTCGCCCTCGTAGTCGCCCTCGTAGCGGCCGTCGGAGTACTCTTCGTGCGGGCCGTCGAAGTAGTCTCCGCGGCTGCCCGGAGAAGCGCCGCCTGCTGCTGCCGCTCACCCATCTGAATCCCCCATCGGAGGGAAGGTGGGGGGGTGTGCGCGACCTATTGGACCCATTGGGCGGGACAGCAGAGGACTGGTGTGGATTTGGCCTAGGAAGGGCATCGCATTGAGTCTATTCTTGCTGCTGCTGCTGCTGGTCGGTAAAGTCGAAGGATCCCATGGATCCGAAAATACCCCGCGAACGGGTGAATGGGGAACGTGGATTGGTAATAGTTGGATTCATCTTATTCCAGCACCTGTGAGGAAATATACATACGTTCATGGGCTTTGTTTTGTAGTTGTATTTGTATTTACTTTATGTTCCCCGTGCTTTCGATATTTGCTGCCGTTCTCTGTGTTGTGCCGCTTTCTCCAGATATTCGTACTGAATGATTTCCTGAGCCAGTTCTGGATTCTCCCTTCTTTTCAGGTCTCCCCCACCCCACCCCACCCCACAACGCCATGTTGCGCATAATCCTATTTGGGTGGCTGTTGGCCGGCCCGGCACTCCTGGTCCACTCGGAGCTCACAGAACTAGATGGCCCCAACATATGCAAGAGGCGGGAGAGGTAAGTACTCGTCGGAGAGACTAATCACAGGCACTCATCCATCTCCATCCATCTATCCCATCCACCCATAGCTACCCCGTTGAAGTTGTCTACACTGAGCTGCAGTCGTACCAGGAGCGTGGCTCCAACTGGTGCCTCACCATCCCGCCACGCTGCTCCACGTACCGCATCAAGAATCGGGTGGTAAACAAGACCAAGACAATCATGAAGAACCGCATTGTGCGCGACTGTTGCGGTGAGTCTCTCGGGAGTTTCGAGTCCCTACGTGCCCCGAGCCTGTATTTTCACGATCTACGATCTACATTCCAGATGGCTATGTGTCCAGCGGCGGGGAGTGCGTGCCCCATTGTACGGACCACTGCGAGCACGGCAGATGCATTGCCCCGGAGAAGTGCAAGTGCGACCATGGCTATGGCGGCCCTGCCTGTGATATAAGTTCGTTTAACCTTTGCTTCCCTTCCCTTCCTTTCCCTTCTCTTCCCCGATTAACCCTTTCGTATTTGTGTACAATGAAACGCCTTGGGGGTGGGGTGCATGTGGGGCCACCTCTGGGTCCCATTGCTTAGTCCTTTAAAGCCCTTGCAGAGTGCTCTGACAGAATCGGGGCTAGCCATGAGATATACATACGATATATTCCGAACACAAATGCCACAACAGGGGGACAAAACGTAGGACAATTTGGGAGTACATAATACAGAATACGAAGAAGGGCCAGGACACACAACATGGACATTGAGGAGGATCTGGACGGCATGCCACCCATCAGCATCGGCACCTTCGGGATACCCAATGACCCGGAACTGCTGGACGAGTACGCGCTGTACCGTCCCTCGATAGGCTCAAGTACGTGGAGATAGTCGAGGCCTGTCCGGCGGCCTTCTGGCCGGAGAGCGAGATGGCCGAGCTGGCGGCACTCGTGCGGGAACATGTGCGCACCATGGACATCCGCCATCTGCAGTCCCTCTCGGAGGAGAGCTTCCAGCGCCACAAAGGGAGCAGCGACTCGGAGCCGGACGTCACGTCGGAGGAGTCTGAGGCCCTGTTTGTTTCTAGCGATGAGCGCAACACCTCCTCCGAGTGGACAGACGAGCAAGAGGGAGAGTGCTCCGAAGAGCAGTCCACAGAGCAGCCCGACCCGAAGAATCAGGCTAAGATCAACTTTAATAGAGTGGAAACGGAGGAGGAGCAGCCGGCAGGGGCAGGGGCAGGGGCAGTGGCAGGAGCAGCGGCAGTAGAAGCGGCAGTCGAAGGAGTCATGTACCTTCTGGATGACATCCAGGAGGCCAAACGCGTGGCGCGTGGTTCCCGCAACGCCGTGCGACAGCAGCTGCGGCGCTTGCAGGCCGCCAGGAAGGAGGCGCACGAGCAGCGGGTGCACCGTCGCACCGTTATGCGGCAGAGGCCCGCCGAGCAGCCTGAGAAGAAGCGCCGCAAGAGCAGGAAGACAGTGATGGGCGTCTTCAGTATGAAGGTGGAGCCCGAGCCGGAAGACGACGAAGATAAGATCGTGGACAGGCGAAACAAGGAGAAGGTGCTGGAGCGCCTCCGTCGCTACGACTTCCCCTCGGAGCACTGCCATCACATCGACCTGAGCTTTGTGCGCTTCTTCGATAACCTCGTCTCGTTCACCCTCGAGTTCCTGGGGCCACACATGGGGCGCGACTTCCACAAGCGGCACCTGCGGTTCTCCACCGAGGACGTGGTGCGGCTGGCCAGGGGCCTCCAGGAGCTCGACAAGCTGCAGATCTTCCGCCTGCGCAACAGCCGCATGGACCATCTCAAGCTGCACGTCCTCTGCCGTGTCCTCAAGAACCTGAAGGCCTTGGAAGTGATTGATTCGCCCGTCCAGCCCGGATTACAGATGCAGGCCCCGTTCTCGGGCTCGCACTTGCCACCGTTCTCACAGCGGCACTCCTCCAAGCAGCTGGCGCCAAAGCGCCCCTCCGGACAGACATCGGCGAACCTGGCGCCCGTATAGCCCTTGGCGCACTCGCACTCCCCGCTGAAGGGCTCGCAGAGGGCGTTGTTCAGGCAGTCGCACTGCATCGAGCAGTTCCTTCCGTACCAGCCAGGTGGGCAATCTGGCGTGCAAAAAGTTATATAAGTAATCTAAATCTCTCTCTCTCTCTCTCTCTGTCTTTCTTAGAACAGGACTAGACGTTATACAGGATGTTGCGACAGTTAGAGAACAGCCAGGGCGTGGTCATGAGCACGGCAAAGAAGACGAGCGTCTCGTCGCCCCGGGCATTGGCCATGCGCCACAGCAACTGGCGCTGGATGGTGCGCAGCTTGAACTTGCTGTTCCACAATCGGAGGCGCCCACGGTCTTCTCGACCAGCCAGAACACCGCGCAGCACAGCATCTTCAGCACCAGCAGCACGACCTTGACCACAGCGGTCTCCAAGACGAGGTGGTACAAGGCCACCATGCGCTGACGGTGCTCCGGCTGCATTGTGGAGAGCACGACTGCGCCGAGGGACTCCAGCGGGGAGACCCTGAGGGAAGGGCCGTCGGAGAGCTCCTCCCACTCCGAGTCCGACTCGGTGCGCTCTATCGAGCTGAACTCGCTCTGGCTCTGACAGGAGCACGACTCCTCCTCTTGGTCCTCCTAGGTGGGCATCGAGTAGTCGCCCTCGTAGTCGCCCTCGTAGCGGCCGTCGGAGTACTCTTCGTGCGGGCCGTCGAAGTAGTCTCCGCGGCTGCCCGGAGAAGCGCCGCCTGCTGCTGCCGCTCACCCATCTGAATCCCCCATCGGAGGGAAGGTGGGGGGGTGTGCGCGACCTATTGGACCCATTGGGCGGGACAGCAGAGGACTGGTGTGGATTTGGCCTAGGAAGGGCATCGCATTGAGTCTATTCTTGCTGCTGCTGCTGCTGGTCGGTAAAGTCGAAGGATCCCATGGATCCGAAAATACCCCGCGAACGGGTGAATGGGGAACGTGGATTGGTAATAGTTGGATTCATCTTATTCCAGCACCTGTGAGGAAATATACATACGTTCATGGGCTTTGTTTTGTAGTTGTATTTGTATTTACTTTATGTTCCCCGTGCTTTCGATATTTGCTGCCGTTCTCTGTGTTGTGCCGCTTTCTCCAGATATTCGTACTGAATGATTTCCTGAGCCAGTTCTGGATTCTCCCTTCTTTTCAGGTCTCCCCCACCCCACCCCACCCCACAACGCCATGTTGCGCATAATCCTATTTGGGTGGCTGTTGGCCGGCCCGGCACTCCTGGTCCACTCGGAGCTCACAGAACTAGATGGCCCCAACATATGCAAGAGGCGGGAGAGGTAAGTACTCGTCGGAGAGACTAATCACAGGCACTCATCCATCTCCATCCATCTATCCCATCCACCCATAGCTACCCCGTTGAAGTTGTCTACACTGAGCTGCAGTCGTACCAGGAGCGTGGCTCCAACTGGTGCCTCACCATCCCGCCACGCTGCTCCACGTACCGCATCAAGAATCGGGTGGTAAACAAGACCAAGACAATCATGAAGAACCGCATTGTGCGCGACTGTTGCGGTGAGTCTCTCGGGAGTTTCGAGTCCCTACGTGCCCCGAGCCTGTATTTTCACGATCTACGATCTACATTCCAGATGGCTATGTGTCCAGCGGCGGGGAGTGCGTGCCCCATTGTACGGACCACTGCGAGCACGGCAGATGCATTGCCCCGGAGAAGTGCAAGTGCGACCATGGCTATGGCGGCCCTGCCTGTGATATAAGTTCGTTTAACCTTTGCTTCCCTTCCCTTCCTTTCCCTTCTCTTCCCCGATTAACCCTTTCGTATTTGTGTACAATGAAACGCCTTGGGGGTGGGGTGCATGTGGGGCCACCTCTGGGTCCCATTGCTTAGTCCTTTAAAGCCCTTGCAGAGTGCTCTGACAGAATCGGGGCTAGCCATGAGATATACATACGATATATTCCGAACACAAATGCCACAACAGGGGGACAAAACGTAGGACAATTTGGGAGTACATAATACAGAATACGAAGAAGGGCCAGGACACACAACATGGACATTGAGGAGGATCTGGACGGCATGCCACCCATCAGCATCGGCACCTTCGGGATACCCAATGACCCGGAACTGCTGGACGAGTACGCGCTGTACCGTCCCTCGATAGGCTCAAGTACGTGGAGATAGTCGAGGCCTGTCCGGCGGCCTTCTGGCCGGAGAGCGAGATGGCCGAGCTGGCGGCACTCGTGCGGGAACATGTGCGCACCATGGACATCCGCCATCTGCAGTCCCTCTCGGAGGAGAGCTTCCAGCGCCACAAAGGGAGCAGCGACTCGGAGCCGGACGTCACGTCGGAGGAGTCTGAGGCCCTGTTTGTTTCTAGCGATGAGCGCAACACCTCCTCCGAGTGGACAGACGAGCAAGAGGGAGAGTGCTCCGAAGAGCAGTCCACAGAGCAGCCCGACCCGAAGAATCAGGCTAAGATCAACTTTAATAGAGTGGAAACGGAGGAGGAGCAGCCGGCAGGGGCAGGGGCAGGGGCAGTGGCAGGAGCAGCGGCAGTAGAAGCGGCAGTCGAAGGAGTCATGTACCTTCTGGATGACATCCAGGAGGCCAAACGCGTGGCGCGTGGTTCCCGCAACGCCGTGCGACAGCAGCTGCGGCGCTTGCAGGCCGCCAGGAAGGAGGCGCACGAGCAGCGGGTGCACCGTCGCACCGTTATGCGGCAGAGGCCCGCCGAGCAGCCTGAGAAGAAGCGCCGCAAGAGCAGGAAGACAGTGATGGGCGTCTTCAGTATGAAGGTGGAGCCCGAGCCGGAAGACGACGAAGATAAGATCGTGGACAGGCGAAACAAGGAGAAGGTGCTGGAGCGCCTCCGTCGCTACGACTTCCCCTCGGAGCACTGCCATCACATCGACCTGAGCTTTGTGCGCTTCTTCGATAACCTCGTCTCGTTCACCCTCGAGTTCCTGGGGCCACACATGGGGCGCGACTTCCACAAGCGGCACCTGCGGTTCTCCACCGAGGACGTGGTGCGGCTGGCCAGGGGCCTCCAGGAGCTCGACAAGCTGCAGATCTTCCGCCTGCGCAACAGCCGCATGGACCATCTCAAGCTGCACGTCCTCTGCCGTGTCCTCAAGAACCTGAAGGCCTTGGAAGTGATTGATTCGCCCGTCCAGCCCGGATTACAGATGCAGGCCCCGTTCTCGGGCTCGCACTTGCCACCGTTCTCACAGCGGCACTCCTCCAAGCAGCTGGCGCCAAAGCGCCCCTCCGGACAGACATCGGCGAACCTGGCGCCCGTATAGCCCTTGGCGCACTCGCACTCCCCGCTGAAGGGCTCGCAGAGGGCGTTGTTCAGGCAGTCGCACTGCATCGAGCAGTTCCTTCCGTACCAGCCAGGTGGGCAATCTGGCGTGCAAAAAGTTATATAAGTAATCTAAATCTCTCTCTCTCTCTCTCTCTGTCTTTCTTAGAACAGGACTAGACGTTATACAGGATGTTGCGACAGTTAGAGAACAGCCAGGGCGTGGTCATGAGCACGGCAAAGAAGACGAGCGTCTCGTCGCCCCGGGCATTGGCCATGCGCCACAGCAACTGGCGCTGGATGGTGCGCAGCTTGAACTTGCTGTTCCACAATCGGAGGCGCCCACGGTCTTCTCGACCAGCCAGAACACCGCGCAGCACAGCATCTTCAGCACCAGCAGCACGACCTTGACCACAGCGGTCTCCAAGACGAGGTGGTACAAGGCCACCATGCGCTGACGGTGCTCCGGCTGCATTGTGGAGAGCACGACTGCGCCGAGGGACTCCAGCGGGGAGACCCTGAGGGAAGGGCCGTCGGAGAGCTCCTCCCACTCCGAGTCCGACTCGGTGCGCTCTATCGAGCTGAACTCGCTCTGGCTCTGACAGGAGCACGACTCCTCCTCTTGGTCCTCCTAGGTGGGCATCGAGTAGTCGCCCTCGTAGTCGCCCTCGTAGCGGCCGTCGGAGTACTCTTCGTGCGGGCCGTCGAAGTAGTCTCCGCGGCTGCCCGGAGAAGCGCCGCCTGCTGCTGCCGCTCACCCATCTGAATCCCCCATCGGAGGGAAGGTGGGGGGGTGTGCGCGACCTATTGGACCCATTGGGCGGGACAGCAGAGGACTGGTGTGGATATGGCCTAGGAAGGGCATCGCATTGAGTCTATTCTTGCTGCTGCTGCTGCTGGTCGGTAAAGTCGAAGGATCCCATGGATCCGAAAATACCCCGCGAACGGGTGAATGGGGAACGTGGATTGGTAATAGTTGGATTCATCTTATTCCAGCACCTGTGAGGAAATATACATACGTTCATGGGCTTTGTTTTGTAGTTGTATTTGTATTTACTTTATGTTCCCCGTGCTTTCGATATTTGCTGCCGTTCTCTGTGTTGTGCCGCTTTCTCCAGATATTCGTACTGAATGATTTCCTGAGCCAGTTCTGGATTCTCCCTTCTTTTCAGGTCTCCCCCACCCCACCCCACCCCACAACGCCATGTTGCGCATAATCCTATTTGGGTGGCTGTTGGCCGGCCCGGCACTCCTGGTCCACTCGGAGCTCACAGAACTAGATGGCCCCAACATATGCAAGAGGCGGGAGAGGTAAGTACTCGTCGGAGAGACTAATCACAGGCACTCATCCATCTCCATCCATCTATCCCATCCACCCATAGCTACCCCGTTGAAGTTGTCTACACTGAGCTGCAGTCGTACCAGGAGCGTGGCTCCAACTGGTGCCTCACCATCCCGCCACGCTGCTCCACGTACCGCATCAAGAATCGGGTGGTAAACAAGACCAAGACAATCATGAAGAACCGCATTGTGCGCGACTGTTGCGGTGAGTCTCTCGGGAGTTTCGAGTCCCTACGTGCCCCGAGCCTGTATTTTCACGATCTACGATCTACATTCCAGATGGCTATGTGTCCAGCGGCGGGGAGTGCGTGCCCCATTGTACGGACCACTGCGAGCACGGCAGATGCATTGCCCCGGAGAAGTGCAAGTGCGACCATGGCTATGGCGGCCCTGCCTGTGATATAAGTTCGTTTAACCTTTGCTTCCCTTCCCTTCCTTTCCCTTCTCTTCCCCGATTAACCCTTTCGTATTTGTGTACAATGAAACGCCTTGGGGGTGGGGTGCATGTGGGGCCACCTCTGGGTCCCATTGCTTAGTCCTTTAAAGCCCTTGCAGAGTGCTCTGACAGAATCGGGGCTAGCCATGAGATATACATACGATATATTCCGAACACAAATGCCACAACAGGGGGACAAAACGTAGGACAATTTGGGAGTACATAATACAGAATACGAAGAAGGGACAGGACACACAACATGGACATTGAGGAGGATCTGGACGGCATGCCACCCATCAGCATCGGCACCTTCGGGATACCCAATGACCCGGAACTGCTGGACGAGTACGCGCTGTACCGTCCCTCGATAGGCTCAAGTACGTGGAGATAGTCGAGGCCTGTCCGGCGGCCTTCTGGCCGGAGAGCGAGATGGCCGAGCTGGCGGCACTCGTGCGGGAACATGTGCGCACCATGGACATCCGCCATCTGCAGTCCCTCTCGGAGGAGAGCTTCCAGCGCCACAAAGGGAGCAGCGACTCGGAGCCGGACGTCACGTCGGAGGAGTCTGAGGCCCTGTTTGTTTCTAGCGATGAGCGCAACACCTCCTCCGAGTGGACAGACGAGCAAGAGGGAGAGTGCTCCGAAGAGCAGTCCACAGAGCAGCCCGACCCGAAGAATCAGGCTAAGATCAACTTTAATAGAGTGGAAACGGAGGAGGAGCAGCCGGCAGGGGCAGGGGCAGTGACAGGAGCAGCGGCAGTCTGAGGAGTCATGTACCTTCTGGATGACATCCAGGAGGCCAAACGCGTGGCGCGTGGTTCCCGCAACGCCGTGCGACAGCAGCTGCGGCGCTTGCAGGCCGCCAGGAAGGAGGCGCACGAGCAGCGGGTGCACCGTCGCACCGTTATGCGGCAGAGGCCCGCCGAGCAGCCTGAGAAGAAGCGCCGCAAGAGCAGGAAGACAGTGATGGGCGTCTTCAGTATGAAGGTGGAGCCCGAGCCGGAAGACGACGAAGATAAGATCGTGGACAGGCGAAACAAGGAGAAGGTGCTGGAGCGCCTCCGTCGCTACGACTTCCCCTCGGAGCACTGCCATCACATCGACCTGAGCTTTGTGCGCTTCTTCGATAACCTCGTCTCGTTCACCCTCGAGTTCCTGGGGCCACACATGGGGCGCGACTTCCACAAGCGGCACCTGCGGTTCTCCACCGAGGACGTGGTGCGGCTGGCCAGGGGCCTCCAGGAGCTCGACAAGCTGCAGATCTTCCGCCTGCGCAACAGCCGCATGGACCATCTCAAGCTGCACGTCCTCTGCCGTGTCCTCAAGAACCTGAAGGCCTTGGAAGTGATTGATTCGCCCGTCCAGCCCGGATTACAGATGCAGGCCCCGTTCTCGGGCTCGCACTTGCCACCGTTCTCACAGCGGCACTCCTCCAAGCAGCTGGCGCCAAAGCGCCCCTCCGGACAGACATCGGCGAACCTGGCGCCCGTATAGCCCTTGGCGCACTCGCACTCCCCGCTGAAGGGCTCGCAGAGGGCGTTGTTCAGGCAGTCGCACTGCATCGAGCAGTTCCTTCCGTACCAGCCAGGTGGGCAATCTGGCGTGCAAAAAGTTATATAAGTAATCTAAATCTCTCTCTCTCTCTCTCTCTGTCTTTCTTAGAACAGGACTAGACGTTATACAGGATGTTGCGACAGTTAGAGAACAGCCAGGGCGTGGTCATGAGCACGGCAAAGAAGACGAGCGTCTCGTCGCCCCGGGCATTGGCCATGCGCCACAGCAACTGGCGCTGGATGGTGCGCAGCTTGAACTTGCTGTTCCACAATCGGAGGCGCCCACGGTCTTCTCGACCAGCCAGAACACCGCGCAGCACAGCATCTTCAGCACCAGCAGCACGACCTTGACCACAGCGGTCTCCAAGACGAGGTGGTACAAGGCCACCATGCGCTGACGGTGCTCCGGCTGCATTGTGGAGAGCACGACTGCGCCGAGGGACTCCAGCGGGGAGACCCTGAGGGAAGGGCCGTCGGAGAGCTCCTCCCACTCCGAGTCCGACTCGGTTATAGTATTTTGGCCCGTGCTCGTGCTTCTCCATCACAGGTGGCCCCTTTGTTGGTGGCGCCACTTGCCAGTGGCAGGGGCACACGCGATGTCTTGGCTAATGACAGCCTTGGCAGTGAAATGATGTTTTGTTGATGCTTCGACCACACCCAGAGAAAAAAGACCCGATAGCCGCGATATGCAAATGTATGCCGATATGTCTGCCGATATATCTGCACCGGGGAGTACAAATTCTAAAAAGAAAGTGTTGCATGTTACTATTAAATATTTTTGCTTTATATTTCGACTCAATATCAAATAAAAATATTAATTTTTAAATCCAAGTTCACTTTTCTCTCAGTGTACGAGTATAGAAGCAGTGGAAGGTCCCCACCTGGCGATTAAATGGGGAAACAGAGAGCGATGAAGGGGAATCTGTGTGTGCGTATCCAATGAATTAATATTTCATTCTAGAACGCAGATGTCTGCGTTAGTTGGGCACACACACACATAGTACATATATGCTGGCAGCGTTCCCATTCAATCTACTCGACGGCTGATGCACGCCTGAAGCCCCCGCTGGAAACTTCCGCAGATTCTGGAACGCAGAGGATGCGGGCTATCGGCGACAGGGGAAACTACTATACAGAAAGAGAAGGCGAATTCATATTATTGCCAATTTAATGCAAGAAAAATAAAGAGAGTGGAGTGGGCGATGCCAAAGGCAGAAGAAAGAAAGGCCGTAAACCAAAAGAAGAAGGCACGCAAGAAAGAGAAACCAGAACAGGTTTAACTGTTCTTGGAGTGCTCGCTTAACAACGCTAATTGACACGCACACAGGCACACACGCCACACACACACAACCAGAAGGGCCATAAACACACTCAAAAGCCAAGTGGAACTTTTGTAAACCCCATAAATGGCGAATAGTGTGTCACATTTCAAGAGCTTCCTTTATTTGTTTAACCAAAAGGCATTAAAATTAACTAATTTTAGTGAAAACTTACTTTTCTTCTGAACCGAAATTGAGTGGCCTGGGGCCTATCAAATCAACTGCAGCAAGGAATGCACTCAATTTACACTCAATTAGTTTACACGTTTTGCTTTCGTAGTTTCCAGCGCCCTGCCCTGGCTGATTTATTTCGGATGGCACTGACACCTTTAATTCGCCATATACGTATATATTCATATATTTTTAAATGCTTACAACATCTCGTCAGTCTGTGCGAATTGTTTTCTTTTCTCCACTAACACAGATTTGCACTCAAACAAAAACTCGTTTTTGATCATTTATTTTGGCACAAAACTTTCTGCTACACCAAAATTGCTGAATGCTGCAACAATGTTTTATGTACTATTCATTTATGTGATTGCCACCCGAGTACCCACCACGAGTTTGTTTAAAAATAAGTATTTCTACTTATAAACCCAACCCAAAGAATAACAACAACACGCACAAAACGACGCAGTTCTTGAACCGTGTCTCGGAACGAACCCGAAATGCACTTCAATTTGGTCGCTTAATTCAAGCTTGTTCACAGCCCAGCGATTCGCAAATGCGGCAAATTCTATCTATTTTTTTTAATGTACGCATACAAGTGTACATCAGCCAAACGATTTGCTCAATTTAATAAAAATTAACGCGACGCAAAGCGTACGGCGATCCGCTCATTTAAAAAATTTGGAAGCAGTGTGACGGATTTATTGCTAAAATATACCATCCGACCCTTAGAAATATACCGACTCATTTTAAAAATGACTACTTTACTTTACTTTAGTCTTTACTACACTACACGCAAAATACACATTTGCTACATATTAACTACATTTTAATGTAATTACAAAAGGCGACACCTGTAGGAAAAAATTCGTCGGTATATTTACGGTATTTTTCTGAGAGTCTGACCGTATATCTTATATCCACAGTCACACTGATTTAGACACCTTGTCGAAGTCACACACCTTGTAAGTTGTATACTTTTTCTAGTATTTTCCAGTATATTTAAAGACGCGTTATGTCCAATGCACCAATGTAGAAATGTACCTGGCCACATCGACCGGCCACATCAGCGTCGAAAACCTAGTCGTGTGCCTTCGAGATCTCAATTTATTCAAAAATATCGTGAAAAAAGCATGTCAAAAACAGGATAGTGGAGGTTCTTCACACTAACGGTTCCAATAGAAAAGGGCCAACAATATCCGAAAGTTACACATTTACCCTTCAGGTGTCGCTTTTGAGAACTACATAAAAATGTAGTTAATATATAGCAATTGTGTAGTTATCGTGTAGTTACCATGAAACAAAATTAATTTAGTGGACATTTTTGTTGACATTTTTTATTTAAACCTTATTTTATAAACAATCCAATAAAGATGAGTACTTAGAATTAGCCAATCTCGCATAAAATCGATTAGATTATCGGGTAAAATTTTGTGTACAGGGCGGAGGGTTCTAACTAGCTAGTAATATTCAACCGAATATCAAAATCGAGGAATGTGATAAAATATTAAGGCAAATAACTTGTCGGTATATTTCGGTATGTTTCTGAGGGTCAGACCGTATATTTTATCTGTAAATCACTAACACTCACAGAAAAAATTTTCAGGGCTTAGAATTTGCATCACGCTCTCCCTTTGAATTCGCTGTCGAAAGTTTAATTTAGTCGGGAACATTTACGATGAGCGCTCCAAGCAACAAAATGTCGGCAACAGATCAGATGCGGGCTATGCTGGACCAGTTAATGGGTACCACCCGTAACGGGGACGAGCGACAGCTGAAGTTTTCGGATACACGCGTCTGCAAGTCGTTCCTGCTGGACTGCTGCCCCCACGACATACTGGCATCCACACGCATGGATCTCGGTGAGTGTCCCAAAGTGCATGATCTGGCTTTTCGTGCAGATTACGAGAGTGCGGCCAAGTCGCGAGACTTCTACTACGACATCGAGGCCATGGAGCACCTGCAGGCCTTCATTGCGGACTGCGACCGACGCACAGACTCGGCCAAGCAGCGGCTGAAGGAGACACAGGAGGAGCTGACCGCCGAGGTGGCCGAGAAGGCCAATGCCGTCCACGCCCTCGCCGAGGAGATCGGCAAGAAGCTGGCCAAAGCCGAGGCCCTGGGCGAGGCCGGTGAAGTGGAGGACAGCATGGAGCTGATGAAGGAGATCGACGAGCTGCGCAGCAAGAAGATCAAGGCCGAGCACGAGTACCGCACCTCGATGCCCGCCTCTACGTACCAGCAGCAGAAGCTGCGCGTCTGCGAGGTCTGTTCCGCATACCTGGGGATCCACGACAACGACATCCGTTTGGCGGACCACTTTGGTGGTAAGTTGCATCTCGGCTTCCTCACCATTCGAGAGAAGCTGATCGAACTGGAGAAGACCGCTGCCCCGCGCAAGGTCGAGCTGAAGCGCACGGGTAAGATACCAGATCGTGACGAGGAGGGCCGAGGCGGCAGAAATCGCTACTTTGTAGGTGGCCGTGAGCTGGACCGCCGATCCCGGGTGCATCGCTCGCGTTCCAGGGAGCGCCAGCGTCAACGGGAATCGGAGCGCGGCGACCGGGACCGGGAGCGAGGCAACAGCAGCAGCAATGGGAAGGCCGAAGGCAGCACTGAGCGTTCGTCCAAGGAGGCGCCAGAGGGACCGGACCGTGGCAGCGGCGGCGGTGGGCAGCGCGGTGGACGCGACAATGATCGCATCAATCGCAACAATGACGGCCGGGATCATCGCGACCGAGAGCGCGATGGACGACGAGACAGGGATCGTCATATGCGTAACGACAGAGGACGCTTTGGTGGCGGCGGTGGAGGAGGCAGTGGTGGCGGCGATCGCCGGGATGACAGACGTCGCTCTCGTTCCAGAGACCGATCGCCGCGTGGCGAGAGGCGAAACTACAATCATTTCGCTGGTAATCACAACAACAATCATAGCAGCAACAACAATCACCACAACAACAACAACAACAGACGGCGCTCCTACTCCCGCGAGCGCTACCGCCGTTAGGAGAGGCCCCCTGCGCACGTACGTAGAAATAATCCGAATCAGAAACAGAAAAACAGGCACTACAATCTGAAACTAAGAGAAAACTAATGAAGCACTCAGAAATTAAAAAGAAGAAACCCTGGAACAATAAATTAATATAGCCGCTCCTTCAGACAGACACTCCGATGTAGAGATGAACATTTGTAAATTGTTAATAATCTCTTATTTTTTATCTTACTCTCCCAACCTCTTAAGACCGAATAAAGCCTAAGCTCTGTTAACCAAACCGAAAAACCCAATCCAATCCAATCCAACAAAAATTAAAACTAAACCCGACCGAAAGCGAGAGAGAGAGAGAGAAATGGCCTTACCAAAGCATACATACATATATGAGAGTGCATATGATAATGATTTGATAGTCCCTCGATCCTCGTTGAGAGGGGTTTTTTGGTATGTAGAGACACACCCGAACGTAGAAGAACCCACCACCCAGTCCCCGAACGACATCACATCACAGTGTTGCCAATTTTAGTATAGATATTTGATATTGTAGAATATACATACATATATACATAGAACTAGGAGAAGACCTCCTCAAACTGACAGTACAGTCCTCCGACTGCCCAGCGAGCAATTTGCTTCAACAGAATGATATAGTACCCTATATAGTACTCTATGAATATCGGGCATGAAGGAGCTATATTTATATAGCACATATATATGTAGCTGTGAAGGAGGGACCTTTTTATACTAGTTGGTAACACTGTACAAACCCATTCGACTCGTAATATACTCGTAATATACTCCCAGCTCTTAGCTCTATTATCTCTCTTTATTGATTCCAACCGAGGCGAATCGCTGTACGAGCTTTTGGGGTAAGCCTCAACCATATATAAAAACTCTTTCTCTATCTGTAATCTTCTCTACTTGAAGTTCCACAATTTTGCAGCCCACACTCAGCTTTTTTTGGTACGTATTGAGTAAATAAATATCCATATAAACACCAGAAGACGTACGTACGTCCTACTCTAGCATTAACGTTAGTGTTGTCTTGGCAGATACTATATACTCATTCGTTCGTTCGTTCGTTCGTACATGCATTTGACATAGATAATATCCAATCCAGATAATCCAATATGATACACGATAGCTTTGGGTACGTATCTACTCCGGCCGTTAAGAGAGAGAGTGAAAAAGAGAGAGTTCTGTATTTCGTTTCGTTTTGTGTTGGGTACGTATTAACGTTAGAGAAGAAATGATATATGTACGATATGATATGGTAATGATGAAATGATCTAGAGATCGCAGATCGCAGATCGCAGATCGCAGTGTGGTACGTATGTATACTGTAATATATATACAATACTCAACCGTAAGCAGACAGACAGACAGAAGGCTTTAATAGGGGTTGTCGGAGATGCAGATCCCAACGTACGTATTCCTTCAATCTACTCTCATTCTCTGAACCAAAAACCAAAATACAAAGAAAACCAAAATGAAAATATGTATTCTTTTTACTATAAACTCTCGTAGCGGTTTAAAGGAGTTTTTAACATACAATAATCTCGTATTTCTCATGCCAAATGGTGGTGCTCTCTGCTCTGCAAATGCCACAGAATCGATGCAGCCTCTGGGGGCCACACAGATCAAGTACATACTTCATGCCCATCTGTGAGTATTCGGGTCGTCAACTAAAAAAATAAAACAAAACAAAACTACTATAACTATTACAATATAGCAATCATTATAATAAATATACAAACCAATTATTGTTGGCCTGGGCCTGGGCTTTCTGCTAACGTTTTCGTTCGTTCGTTTCTTTCGACAGCCAAGGATTGTAGTGGGATAATTGTGAAAGAGAGAAAGAGCTTCAATATGTATGTATAAAAAGAGATTGTTTGTGTTTGGCCTAGTTTAACAGTGGGTAAGAATTATCAATACCAACAAATAAAAACTCTAACTTAATTTTCTATCTGATCTGTCTTATATGTCTAATACCTACTTATTATCCAATACAATGGCTATTATTATTTTTTTTATCTACTCTTAAGTCAACATACACGATTACACCACACACACTCTCAAGTTATCAACACAGAAACACACACAAGCAAACAAACACACACACACACGAAATCTATATTAACTTTTATCTTTATTGATCTAAGTGGATTGTAATAAAATTGCACTTGAATTATAATGATCTGTCGTTTATTTTAGTTTGGAACTGCTGGGGGAGGGTTTCCCCAAGAAAAGTTTACTTATGTACATATGATATCATGGTTGAAAAGGTCTAAAATACCTTTATACCTTTCTTTTGAGAAATCTGCCAGAGAACAAGAGAGACGGATAGCGAATACTGATAAGCCAAAGAAAAACCAGACGAGACTTATCCGAGGGTTTTGTGGGGTTTTCTACCCTCTTTGTGCTTACCTGCTTACTTTGGACATCTACGACATATGTGCATATCTGAGCACTGATCAGGTAGCAAATATCAGTTTCAAGGCTGTGTTGAGCTCTAAAGTCTGAGAAGATTAAGACCAAGCCGTATACGAGTAATAGGAGTCTCGCATAAACCACTATTCGACACAAAACTAGAGAATGAGGTAAAATGAGATAAATCTTTGCTAAGTCCAAGTAAAGATAGTTATTTCTATGAGAAGAAAAAGTATATTTCGATCCGGCTCTACTTGGAAGTAGTTAGTTGCGGGAGGGACTTATGGAAACATGTTGTGAAAGTAAGTAAAAGTAAAAATAAATCATCTGTTCTCACATCTTTCAGTTCACGCCTCTGATCCAGTTGCATCTAGACCCTAGATGGATCTGTTGAATCCCATATCTGTTAAGTGTTTAGCATAATTCCCCCAAGAAAAAACAAATGTATGGGGGCAGAGTTTTGTTTCTTCCATGAGAAGGCTTCTCGGTGTTGTTTGTATTTTAAATATTGCTGTTTCGTTTTGAAAGGGCTTTGCTTTCCGGTCGGTGTTGTTTTGTATATATTTTAGGTTTTTTGATTTGTTTTCTTTTCTAGTTTCTCCTTAATTTTGAGTTTTACACGTTGTTTTTGTTCCAAAAGAGAATTTCTGTACAATTTGTTTGTCTTTTCCTTTATATCTATATATGTATGTATATATATATACGATACGTATTTAAAATTAGGTCTTCATTCTTTTATGTTTAACAATTTCAATTGGCCCGAATAATAGATAAATATTTTTACAATTTTAAAGCGATTTCGAGTACCCAAAAATGTGTGGATTGTTTCTCGACTTTTGGGAGGTTTCTGGCGTGTTTCTGTACTGTTGTTCTTGTTGGTGTTTTGTGGATTGGAAAACCTTCTCAACTGCTCCAACGCTTCTCCACTTAGTACATCCTTAGTTCAAGATCTCGTCTCTTGTCTTGGCTCTCCTACTCCTAACTCAAAACAGTCGCTGCGGACGGGGGGTGGGAGGGGCCCGGCTATAACTCTCAGTTACACACTATCTCTATAATGAATGGAAATCTAGGAAATCGAATTTGCTTTGATGATCATCAACATGAATGAGCTTTAGAATCTAATTTACTTTAATTATTATTTATACAACAATTTCATTTCATTTAGATATTAAGTTTAAATTGTTTTTGTTGATTAAAAATTTTGAACTATTTGATTGGATTTAACTTGATATAAAATTCCTCGATCTACAGTTTGGAATTTACATTTAAATATTGCTGTTCTGCTGTTTTTTTTTTTTTGTGGTTTACTCTCTCCAGTATTCGATGGGTAAAAAGGTGTGCTCCTCTCTCGACGACACATCATCTCTTACATAATAGATCTACTAGACAATATAGAAAGTTTATCCTCTGTCTCTGTGAGTGGTATGGATTGTGGCTTGTTGTTTGCTGTCGCTGTTGCTTTTGCTTTTGCTGGTTGTTTGTTTAACATATTAAACTCTTACGGAATCTCTTAAAAGCTAACTTATCTACAGATTTGATTTTATTCTTGGATTTGTATTCTGCTTTTGTATAGTACATTTAGTTGTTGATTTAATGCTTAGAATTAGACATAGAATTTGGCATTTATTGCGCATTCTCCTCCAAGTACTGGCTCTCCACAATAATTAACATGATCTTTCCCATAGAATTGTTATTTACAAACGATTTTTTATGCCTGATTTAAAGATTTTACTGATGAATATTCACGTTTGAAGACCACGGTTTTAAAGGCTGGATGTATGCTGGGAGGCAATGGGAATGCAAATAATATTAAAATTTTAAAATTGGTTCCTAAAGCTTTTGAAAATTGTTTTAAATGCTGGACTAGCTTTTCAGAACGACGGGGTAACCAAAATGTTAAGAAATATGTTTTCAAAAAATTGAAAGTGCACAAAAATTATTGATACAATTATAGGTTGGCAGCATTTTTGTAAGGATTACGAGTTGTAAGAGAGAGTAAAGCAAAAATATAATAATTACTAAAATATACATATACAATATAGAGAGGAGGGAGGGGGCGGGTGCGTGTAAACTATCTTAAGTATCTAAATGTATACGCGTCGTTGAACAAAATGTTGAAATCGAGTTAGATATCAGAGATAGAGAGAAGGAGAGGACTTCTAAGAGCTAGATTCACAGGAAATTTATGGACTGATGGATCATCTCATCACAAGTGTGTGTATGTGTGTGGGTGTAAGTGTTTGTGAGGATGGGTGTGTAGTGTAGTTGTATTGGTGTTTTTGTTGTTGATTGATTTGATTGCTGTTGTAGATGTTAGCTGTCGGTTATGTTGTTGTTGTTGTTGTTTCAGTCCTTTGAGTGAATCGGTATCACATATTTATGTCCATACGGACTTTTGTACTTAATGCCACAATCACGATAGAATTTATCCGGTATACCTAAGTTACATAAATACAATTTGCCACAATTGTTCGTTGATGAAGGGGTTGCTGGTTTTGCAACAGCCGCTGCTGCTGCTGCTGCTGCAGCAGCCGAAGATGTGCTCGGTAGGGGCGTTGGTGTTGCTGCAGCCGACGATGATGATGATGCTGCTGCTGCTGTTGATATGCCATTCAATGGTAGTATAGGTAATATAGAGTATTTGATTGCCACATCGTTAATACCACACGGTGGCGGATCTATGGCAAGCACCGAGGCGCTGCAAAGTAACAAAGAGAGACAGCGTGAGAGTTTCCATTTAGATTGGGGATCAATCCTCCCACCCGCACTGCCACTACTTACCGATTTAACCTGAGCCAATTCTTGATTGCATCCGATAGAGTAGCGGTGTTAGTCGATAATATCACAAGATCTGGCGTCGGTAAGGCTGCAATCGAACACAGAAGGGAATATGGTTAATCCAAAATTTCATTGATTTCAAGCACTTACCATCCACGGCATGGACTATGACATTGTCTGTTGCCTTGAACAGGGAAATCTCCACGCTCTGGCCAACCAGCTGCGCCTGCTCCACATACAGCAAAACGGTCAGGCCATGGGAGGCCAGCTGTCGGCCCGTAGCGGCTCCAATGTTAATTGTTCTGCAAGAAATTCGATTAATACGATATTGTTCAGCAAGCAAAAGGGGCTCTCTGCTCGCCTCATGTTCTTGACGCCATCACAAATGATGGCTATCTTGGGCCACTGATGATTGTTGGCCGGCGTCAGGCGTCTAGCACCGCCCAGCAGTGTGATGGCCAGGTCGCTGGCCCCGCGCGCCAATATGTCAATCTGCCGCTGCAGCGACAGACCCGCCTTCTCGGCACACAGCTCAATCTTGTTGCGCACAAATGACGGTACGGTTGGTATAATCAGCCCATCGTCAGTCACAAAGTCCTTGCTGCCATCAAAAATGCTCTCTATCTGGCGCAACTGAAGTGGCTTGCTGGCCAGGATGTTCTCGTCGTGACGATACTTCTGCTCTGGCTGATGCTGATGATGTTTCACGGTTTGCCGCGCTGCATCGGGTCGCGTCGACTCGATGTTCTCCCAAATGGCCTGCTTGTCGAACAACGCCAGATTCCCCTCGAAATCAAACTCTTCCTGGAGCAGTGGATCGTCTGCCTCGCTGCCAAATGTCTGCCGCATGCTACTCTCTCGTCGCACCCTATTACGTTTATTCTTGCCGTTGCCGTTACCGTTACCATTTCCATTTCCATTCCCGTTGCCATTGCCATTGGTGTAAGAGCCGTTTCCATTGCCATTTCCATTCCTTCTGACGTTGCCGTAGCTTGAAGCTGACTGCGGCTGCTTGTAGTATCCATCGCCGTTGCTTATGATATCGATGGGCCTGCTGCTGACTGCCGCCGATGCTGCCTCGCCACTACCACTGCTACCCTCCGCACTGCTGCTGCAGTAGCTCTCTCGATTGTTCCCAATGTAGCCGGCTGCAACAGCAACCCCCAGCTTCACCTCTACCTTGGGCGGTATCATGTTGCCAAAGAATGCCGCCACACTATTCGGAGTCGTCGACATCTGCTGCTGTTGCTGCTGCTGAGCGCTGGGCGCTCGCGAGTTCTGCGGCGTTCTGTGGGGATTTGCCAAGAGAATTTAAAGATTAGAGTGGAGCATTCAGAGCCCAGGCTTATCTTCTCCACTACACTTTAATTGTTGACCTCAAAGGAGTATATAGACTTCTACAATCGATTGAGAGCCGACACTTGACGTTTAGAAGTAATATGCCTTCGATCTTTTATAAAAATAGAGTTCTTGGCAGGCAAAAAAAAAGGGCTGTTCCCTACAAATGAGAAAACTAGAAAGGGAGTAACTCGTACCTCCTTGTGCCATTCAGTCCATTCGCCTCCATGAGCTTTAGCTGGTGCATTTTATCGCTAAGCGCCGAGGTAGCTGCACTGCTACCACCACTTCCACTTCCTTCTCCTCGCCCATAGCCGTTCGCCTTGCCCCTGGATGTCATTGGCAGATCCTGTTCTGGCTGCTGCTGTTGCTGTTTCTGCTGCAATTGGAGTTGCTGTTGTTGTTGCTGCTGCTGCAACTGCTGCTGCTTGCCGAGAATGTTAGAAAAGTGCGGCAACTTGACGGGCGTGGGCTTGTTCATCACCGTGGGCGTCGAATGCGTCTCCACATCCTGATTGACCGGCTCGATGAGGTTGATGCTCCGTATGTCCGTGCACTTGAGCACCACCTCGGCGTTCTGCTTGCGCAACGGGACGCCATTGCGAAAAGCGCGTACGATGGTTATTTCCTCCGCAGAGATTTGCTTGATCAGACCCTGGAAGACGCCCAAGACTTCGTCGCACGTAATGGACACCGCACAGCCGATCCAATCTTGATCTGTCAGACCCATGAAATAAGCTGTTTTTGTTGTAGTTCCTGTTGTAAAGCAATCGCGACCACTCGGTAAAGCTTTTGGGTTTTGGAAATTTCTGCTGTCTGCGTCTGCAGTTTTATATATGTATTGTTTTTCGAGGCTTTCTTTTTCGAGCCGTAGTTGTTGTTGTTTCGTTTCTTAATACGCAATTTCGCTCGCACTCACTCACTCACACACACACGAACACTAACTAACTACGCACCACGCCGACCGACCGACCCTGCGCTTCTTTTTCTCGTGGACGGGCCGTTGCTTTCAAGTCCTTGCGGAAGCACACAAAAAGAAATTGGCAAATGTTTCTTCTGGTTGTTGCGCTGCTTCCTGCGTGTACGATGACCTCGATATTTTTATTCGGTTTTCTTTAAATGCACCCCACTCTCGCTAAACTTATTAGATTTTGTTTCTTTTGGATTTTCACTACTTTAGTGTGGCTGTTTTGCGGAAGTGGTAGAAATACCAACTTGCAAATATACCAAATTAATTTTTTCAGATTTTTTTTTACCGGGAGAGTCCCATAAGGTCTGTATACGTGATTACACGGCATAGTTAGGTAAGAATCTGTGGTGTTATAATCTGTTACTTACTTGGTTGCACGTGGCGTGTGAAAAAGTTAATATTGCTGTAAGTACTGGTGGTCTGTCAGTGGGTGGTAATTTCGCAGTCTACGAAATAATACTACAGTGATACACAGAAATGGTATTTTGGTATTTTAGCCTCGCGATTATGGTTTTATCATGCCAGTAAAAAGCAGCCACACTGGCATACAGTTAATTTCGTCGCCGTGCTAAATTCTTGTTTTTTAATGTTTTAATTGTGATTAAAATACTGAGCAGCAGAATAGCTACGACAAACAACGCCCTTGATGGGATCAAAGCATGTGAGCTGTACCAAACAGCACGCGAATTAGAACGCAGTGCAAAACGGGCCGTGTGAGGTGTGCCGACAAACATCGAATTGTGCCGTGTGAAAAGTGTACGTACGTGAGGATTTTCCGCACATAGTGGACTTAAAACGAGCATACTGACACACACACACACAAGGGCATATTTACAGCATAAATCAAGCGATATTATAGTGCAGAGCTGTCACCACAGACAAGGCGGCGGTAACTGTTTGTGTGTGTTTGTGTGTGAGCGTTAAAGCAAAAGATAAACGTAAGTGGAAAACTTAGAAAATAGTTTTATTCTGACCATAAACGAAGGCCAGAGCGCGCCGGCCAGGTCCGACATGGCGTTGAACCCTTCGCGCTTGGCTAATTACGCCCGGAGCTTGGCTTTTATGCTCTGCCTGGCTTTTCTTTCCTCCTCTCCTCTTCCCTTTCATATGCACCCGCACACACAATGCTGCCGGACAGACAGAGAAGGCATCTAGCACAAGTACCGTTCCTCCATTGTGCACTTTGTGTGTGGTGTCGTCTTTGTTGTCTGCTCAGCTTTGCTGCGCTCTCACTTTGGCCTTGCCGGCGCGTCTCAGCCTCCAAGTTATTGTCACCCATCACCCCGTCCCCCTTGTCGGTCACTTTCGTGCCTTTTTTCGCTTAATTTGCACTTCCGTCACTCCTCACTTACTCACTCTCACCCACTCTCTCTTGCTCTCTTCCTCCCATTGCAGTTGCTTTTGTGAGCCATGTCGGCACGTTCCAGCGGTTCTGTGGCTGCCGTGGCCGCAATGTCCGCCGCCGCCTCATCATCATCGGCCGCAGCATCCGGGGGCGATGTGCCGCGCCCACCGCCGCGGCGCCGGGCCGCCTCTGTTGCGGGACAACAGCAGACGCGTCAGGAGTTCGGCAATGGACACACGCCACGTCGATCGTTGGCTGCAGTGGTAAGTCCCAACTGGGGGGAGAAGTGGAGGCAGAAGAACGCCTTGAAGGGGGATTTTGGATGGGCTTATCAGACTTGTGCCTGAATGGGTGTTTCTCTATTTATGGTGCTATTTTCACTGCTAATCTAATCTGGAGCTGGAACTTGCCAAACAGCTATGTCGTGTGGATGGGCCTTGTCCGTGCGTGGAGTAGAGCTACCTGTTGCAGGCCCCTCCTTTCAGAAATGTGGATGAGAACCCTTCTTAAAACAATTGTTTTAGGGCATCACATCATGCCATGGAATCCGTAATGGCTTTTCTTTTGTTTAGTTTTCTTTCCCACTTGTGTAAACGAGCAAATACGCACTTGCCTTGCTCGTGATCTCAGCCGCAGACACAATTAAACAGAAAATTCGTTTGTTTATTTGCTTTATTTTGGCGAAGGGAAAGAGAAATGAATGGCACTCGGGAGCAGTCATCAACATCTTGAAACACAATTAAATATATCAACAAAACTATTGGCCTGCTCTTTTAGCACTCCTCCAACTCGAGTACTGACTAAACGTGGTAGTAACTTCTCTGCGGCATGTGTACGTGTGGAATGTACATACATACCTTACCCTTCAGCAATCAATGAAAACTAATGCTGCAAGACATTTCTTGTGGGGGATCGATTAGCATCGTTTATATTTGACAACTTATTTCCAGGCTAGAGTGGGACAGACAGAGGGGTAGGTGGGCTGCTTATCTTCATTAGTGGGCTCATCCCAACGGTTCATGGGGCTGTTGCTGGCCTGCTTCCTCACACTTGCCTGCTAATTGAGAAGCGTCAAATGGTAACGTCACTTGGGGCACTTGCCTACGTCACTGTATAGCGGCACCCCCGCAGACGATAAAGTCGCACTAATGGGGACGCTTATCAGTCAACAGTCGAGTATTTATTTTTATCCGTTGCGTCAGCCCTGCTGGCAGAAGTCAAATGTCAATTTTAATTGATGGCTTCAACATGATTGTTAGTAAAAGGAGGGAAGCCCCTGCCCCATGCTACTCCAAAGATCAGAAATGCAGCGGCAGCAATGCTCTCTGCACCCAACACACACACACACACGCAACAGCAAACGTACACTGAACAGCTGTTTTTGTTTTGTTTTGCTTTGGACACTTGTTCGCAGATGGAGCAACATCAGCCACTGTCACTTTGACAAGCTTTTAAAAAGCTTTACTCGGTTCAGTGTTATAAAATGGGTAAAGCGAATGCGGTATTTTAAGTCCAATTAGGTATTTTTATGTTTTGAAATATTCAATAGTTAAACCTGTTTCGTGTTATTTTGCTTAAAACTATTTTAAGAAATTTGTATTCCTATTACCCCCTGCATGTCTGCTACTTTTGAACCACTTGCGCCATTGCTTTCTGTTGAGCTGACGTCTTAGCCAGAAAATGCGTTTGACGTCTTACCAAAGCGATGAATACATTTTTCTACTCCACGGACCTTGGTCACACTGCGTTTGGGGAGCTGGGGAGCTAAATTTTATTTTAGCTAGAACGCGAAAGCGCCAATTACGTGCAACGGCTGACGACAAGTCGGGGGAGACCGACGTCACCTAGTTGTTGTTGTTGTGTTTGCACTTACACTAGCACACACACAAGCGAACACCCCGTTAGGGAGGGAGAAATTCACGCAGAACATGTTTTTGCAATAGTGTTGGTGATTTTTTGTTATTGTTGCTGCTGTTTTTTCCCGTTAATAGAAGATAAATAGTGAATAATTGAATAATAAATATATATATAAAGTGTTCATCTACATTCACAAGCGATATCTACGTGTGAATGCATATTAATGATTGCTAAAAAGTGTTAATTATATAAAGAAATAAATAAATATACATATGTACGTGTGTTGGCAAAAGCAACAGCTTCGTCGTGAAATAAGAATCAACGGGAGTCAAAGCCGTTGTCGCTGAGAGAGAGGCTCCCATCCCCCCCTCCGAGTGGGGGCGCATTCGACGGAATCAAAGATTCAGTTACTGCTCTTTTTTTTTGGCCCTCTATTAGTCATGCATGCCAAAAAGACTGGTGAATGCGCGAATGTGTGAATATGTGTGAGTGTGTGTGAATTTGAGTACTGCGATAGGGCCAAGGAAAACCTAATTCTGACCAGGCCCAGGCCCTGGCCCTTACCTTTACCCGTGCCCCGCGTACCAGCAAAAGCGGAGCGTTGTGGCCTTACGTATACGCAATAAACGTAATAAAAACAAAACGGCGATTTGTTGGGAAACCTGTTCCTCTCCTCTGCTCCGTCGCAGTAGCCGCTGCAGATTGCAGCCAGCGTCGCAGTCGCAGTAGCAGTAGCATTCTGCATAAAAAAAGCTCGCGGCGGGAGACTAAAATAAATCTCGAGTGCGCCAAAAACCAAACAAAAAGAATGTGTAAAGAAACACAGAAGAAGCAAATAAGAGAAACCCCAAATACATAGGAGTATATGAAATTCCTTACGGACCCAACTTGTTTTGTGCAGTTAAAACCGCCCCAGAGGAATTTTACCATATATTTTTTTTGATGATAACCCCACCCCCCCACACCGCCCCACCTTTATACGGTTTATTGTTTGATTTGTAGTTTTGTGGAGAGGCGAGGCGTGCAAATAAATTAACACAAACGCAAAATACTACAACAATACAAAAAAAAAACAGAAAAAAAATCCCGAAGCCAACGTAAACAAGAGCAGAAAGAGGAAGAACAAACAGCAGGAGAAGCATCAGCAAAAGCAGAGAAAAAAAAACAAATAATTAAAAGTTTAAATCAAAAAATTTAAAAATGGCTGAATCAACAACCACATCGCCGTCGGGGACGAGTGAAGATGGCCAGATCCATGGCTATAACAACAGTGATGTAAGTAGCACAGCAAAGAGGGGCGAGGGGGGATTTGTTGCGCTCTTCCTTCTCTCCCTCTTACAGAGATCTCACATACGTATGCATATAGGTGTGTCTGGCTGTGTGTGTGTGCGTTTGAGCTCATTTTCTTGAGCCGCTAATTGAGCCGCCTTTGATGCGGCTCACGTGCCTCCTGCTCATACCCAACCCGCCCCCCGCCCACCCTCCCACTCATCTGTTGGCTTTTCAAGATCTTCTTCTTATTGTTGTTGTTGTTGTTGCTGGAAAATCACTTGAAAAGTTTTCCAGCTCAGGGTCAGTTTTTGTACTGGGGTCTGTGGAAACATATGAACATGTGCACATACATTTCATTTAATATTGGAAAATAATAAATCCCCGTATCCCCGTACATATCTCCGATATTATGCCCTGCCCCCAGAATGTGCTGGAATGAAGTTTTTAATAGAGTTCTCTCTTAAATCTTGTAGTCTTTTTTGTGTCTAAATAATTTATTTAAATCTCATAAATATTTGTTTTTCCCACATTCTCATCCAATTGTTGGCCAGTAACCCTGCGCTTATAATAGCCAAATATATCCGAAAATGTATAGAAATATTTCTTATACATACATACGTACATGCATACGTATATTCTTTAATTGTTGCTATATCGTGTGTGTGTGTGTGTTTGTGTGTGTGTGTGGGTTCC